CCGCCGCCGCTCCCTTTGTCTGGGCCGCCGGCGCGGACCAATGGGACCGCGCGGAGGTGCAGGCGCTGCGCGGCTTAGCCAATGGGCGGGGCAGGGGGCGTGGCCTGAGGGGCGGTGACGCGGCCGGCCGGCCGGGTGGGTCATCCGCGCGTGCGTTTTCTTTGCGGGCGCCGAGCTCGCGTCGCAGCACGGCTGCCGCGGGGTTCTGGGTTTCTGAATCCCGCTCGCTATCGGGAAAAGCGCCTCAGAGTTGGGAGGGACGTGGGAGGGGATGACCCGCGTCCGGCTGCGGGGAGCGGGACGGCGGCTTGGACAAGGTCAGCCCCGAGGCCCAAGAGGATTTGGTCCCAAGCAGTTCGTCGCGCCCTGCGGCGCACAGCCCACGAGGACTTGCAAAGAGAAATGCAGGAGACGCAGCCGCCGGAGCGAAGGAGGGTGCCCTGCCATCAACGAGCAGTAATACGGTGTGGTGACTCAAAAGCGCTCCGGAGTCCAGGAGGCGAGGTGCTTAGAGGGTCTCAGGCCCAGAACCCGGGGGAGGGTCCGTGGGATTCGGGCCCGCTGCCCTAGCTCACCCCGAATGAGGATTGACCCCTGTCCCCTGAGCTGGGTCGTATTGAGGGAAAATGTCAGGACACCAGAGAGCGCCCCGGGGACTCAGATCTGGAGCTGCCCACGGCCGGGGCTGCACGCCTGCTGCTCTGCGCACTCCCCGGGTGGGCTTCTATCCCGTCCGCATGGCTCCCCTGGAGGAGGGATTGAAGGAGGGGTCTCACCAGTGCCCTCAGCCAAGCCTGCAGGGCAGCGGGTGCGGATGAGGAGCACCTGACCCCTCTCTTACCCTCGGTCTGCCTTCCCCAGGGCGTGAGAAAGTGATAAAACCGTCCTTGGGATACCAGAGTGCCGGGCAGTGTCTTCTTTCCTCTAAGTTTCTAGATGGAGGACTTTGGTCCATCCTGTCCTTCTGCATCTTCCTTAAAAGTGACAGGTACAGTCTGAATTCCTAGGGGGAAACCACAGCCTGTGATGGAGTAGGCCCAGGCCAAAGGGAAGGCGTTTTTCAAACCTTCTTTGGTTTTCAAATCTTGGCTCAAAGTGAAATCGCAAATAAACCAAAATAGAACCCAATTCATTCATCCAGGATTGCGTTGAGCCCCTGATGTAAGTAAAGTGCTATGTGGTGAGGAGCCAACACTGGGAAATGCGACCTTGCCACAAATATCCCAGGACCTGCCACGTTCAGCCTGAGAATTCTCAGCCCCCCCCCCCCCTCCAG